GGAAAATATATTAACTCAATTGCAAAATATATAGACTCAGAATTGCAAAATTGATAAACTCAATAGACAGATAAAAAGTCAGAATTGCTAAATATATAAAGTCAGAATCACAAAAAATATAAAGCCAGAACTGGAAAATATTAACTCAGAACAGGAAAATATATTAACTCAATTGCAAAATATATAGACTCAGAATTGCAAAATTGATCAACTCAATAGACAGATATAAAGTCAGAATTGCAAAATATATAAAGTCAGAATCGCGAGACAAAGTCTCCCCTAAAAAGGTAATTGTGACTTTTTAATCTCACAATATTTGTAATTGTGACTTATTTTATAAGAAAAAATCAGACATAATTGTAAGACATGAACTCAGAATTGTGACAAAAAAAGTGTCTAAATTGTGAGATAAAAAAAAAATAAAAATCCCAATTTCGTTTTTTATTCCCTGGTGGAAACAAGCTTCCATAGTTCAATGTGTCCTTCCTTGCTGAATAAAGTATTAATTTCTTTCAAAAAAATTAATCTTTCTGACCCCAAACTTTTGAACGTGTATGTCTCCAATGGAGTTAAACTTTTTCAAAATACAGCTGATCTTTTTTGCGGCATGGGTGCAAACTGTTACATGCAACAATCCTAATTTCAGTCTGCACTGTTCTAAAGAAATTCTAGACACTGAAAATGAATTGTTGTTGTAGGGTGTAACATGTTACAAAATAACAAAGCAACACCCAAAGAGCATTTTGCAACGACGTCTAAAAAAGCAAGTATTGCAAAAGATCCTCCAGCCTCCCCATGAGAAGACTGATATGAAGCTGAATTTATTACATGTCACATCATGAGAAATTGAAGATTTTGCGTTTCTCAAGAATAAAACTTGGTTTGCAGTGAATGGGTGCCGTCAGAATGAGAGTCCAAACAGCTGATAAAAACATCACAATAATCCACAGCACTCCAGTCCATCAGTGAACATCTGGAGAAGACAAACGCTGAAACTAATCCAGCATTAAGATGTTTTTGACTTCAAACCGTTGCTTCCGGTTCTTCTTCTTAAAAATGCATTTGCATTAATTGGAATAAATGTGGAAAGAAAAATCACAAACAAGATCTTTTTAATATCTCAATTGTCTCTCCTATAGATTAGATAGCTATTTTTTGCTTAAGTCTCCTGATTCTAAGATGTTTCTCCACTGAAAAGACTAAAAAGTCTCAACAATTTTTTATTGTTCAGATTTTCCAAAGTCGGCGATCAAAAGTCAGAGAACTCAATTTAAACTAATATTTTTCATCGAGTCATCTGAGCTGCTTCACATTCATTTTATACGTCTATATTCTAACCCTTTTATTTCTCATGAAGAAAACAAACGGAACAAAGTTGATACTGAGATCTCATCTGCAGTCATGCAATGATATTTTCATCTGGAGTAAATCCACTGAAAGGGATATTTGATACCAAGCAGCATAAATCTGAATTGTTCAGTGAAACATTTTAAGACTATCTGCTTTAGACACAGTTATTCTCAAACGCATGAGAGTTTCCAGAACAGCCCGTGCACTCTTTCATTATCCCTGTGTATTTATTCTTCAACCATAAATAAAAGGCTGTCAGCCGTATAGGAAAGCCGATCAAATTCCCTCAGCTTTCTCACACACAGTTAAAACACAATTAGTACTTCCTCAATTAAAACACTTCCGAAAGCCAAACACTCCCAGCGCTCCCTAAAAATACTCGCTTCTCTTCCGCCGCTGACCTCATGACCCGACACGTCTGCGGGACTAAACCCTCGGGATGACTGGAGG